GAACGGGCTATGTTACCAAGAATAGCCCCATGTAGGGTTCTTCCAGCTCTAACATTACCAATATATAAAGAGAGGGCACCAGCCACAACAAATACTCCTGTAAACAGACCATAGTTACATATACCTATATTAAACTAGAAGGTTTGGTAATGCACACAATACAGACATGCTAATATTCATTGTGATGCATGCATATGAAGACACCAATAAGGGGAAATAAATAAAAGGAACCTCAACATAACATCATTGGTATTTGCCCCATATATTGATTTTATTTAGATTAAGTGTCACTGTCAGACACTATTATCGTGTCTAAACAGGTACCATCACTGGTATATGTAATATATATGAGCCGATCACGAAAAAACCAACATAATGGGTTTGCGACCAGCATGGATCCAGACCAGCCTGCGCATCCATGCAGTCTGATCAGGATCCATGCTGTTGGCTATCAGTTTCACTACTTGTTATAGACTTTGTAAGCGACAGCATGGATCCTGGTCAGACTGCGCGAATCTGGTCTGGTCTGGACTGGTCTGGATCCATGCTGGTCGCAAACCCATTACTATGGTTTTGTCATGACGCGGCTCATATTTTCAATTTTGGTAATGCAACTAATTAAGACTATCAATAAATGGAGCAAATACCAGCATATAGTTTGTTTGAATACAACAACATTAATCACAGATCATGCAAATCCAATTGTATCGAAATTTTAAAATTAACCTCATGCAACACAAATCAAACTATTAACTAAATCAAATAAAAAAGCAAATGAATTTAATCAAACTACATAGCAAGTATTAACTTAATCAAAATTGTATGAATATGCACGTAATTTCAGGCAAAAACTACGAACCACTACAGTCTTTTTATGTCTAAGGTTTAGTGCATTTAATCGGGCAATTAACTGATTGCAAATGATTTAATGACTCTGCCTCATAAGATAACAGGATAGTAAAGTACACTAACCTGTCTTGTTAATATGTCAATGATCAATTTTCTGTTAAGAGTATTATTACAAGATTTAATGACAAATGAGCCGCTTCACGACAAAACCAACATAGTGGGTTTGCGACCAGCATCCGCGCAGTCTGATCAGGATCCATGCTGGTCGCAAACCCATTATGTTGGTTTTGTTGTGACGCCGCTCAAATATTGATACAGAAACAGTTGTGTAAATCTTTCTGTACAATTATATTTAAATCAAGCAAGTCCTTTTAAATTTGTTGCCAATGGTTACCATGGAAACAGCCAATGACCTAAGTTTCACATTCTTTCAGATAAAATTTGTGTTTTTATTTTTTATTTTTAGCGATCAGACTTAAAGTATATAACTAATATTGTCAGCTCTTACTGACCTTATAATTACTGTAATTCATGCATTATTTCCTAAAAAATGGGCATGCTTTTTAACAAAAAACTAAATACAACCTGAGTGAAAAATAGACTTGAACAAACGCTTATCATTCCAAAACATTGTCTCGAGGAGAAACACGAACAAGATAAAAGTAGAGAAAAAGGACTAGGACAAACTTGAAATATCAACATACTTTTAAACTACCTTGTAACTTTGGCTCCACAATTGTACAAGTAGTTAAAATAAAAATAATTCACAGCAAAATATTAATATCTCTACTACACCAATTGCACACTTTTTAAAAAGATGTTATTTTCAGTGATGCTAGTTTTTATTAGTGATGTCAGATAGTTATTGAATGTTTCAAACAAAATAAATGTGTAAATGCTTTTTAAAAGTATGAAGCATTATAAATTAGAAGACTAGCCTAAATTAAATTCATAATTATTAATCAATAATTTTCTTGATCATACCATAAGTGAATATTTATTCATTATTTGGAATATTGATGTATTGTATGCAACTTTGAAAGTATTTTACTATGTTTTTGAATATTTTATTATTCTCCTAGTTGATGTAAAAGAAAAGTTTTAACAATGACTGTCTTTGATGTAAAGTTATAACAATATTTGTCTCAAAACACACTATTTCTTCATTTATAAGGCTAAAGTTACACTGTTTCTTATTCTTGCTGTGAAAACAATGTTAGGGCAGATTCAATGGCACTGGTCTTCAATAATCATGTCTGTAAAACTGGAGATGAATCACATCAAAATAATGATGGGAATACAACTTAACTTTTGATTTAATCTAAAATCTGGCAACTTCAAATTACAGGCAAGATTTCAAAATAGAAGTTTTGACATGCAAAGTGACAAAATCTCATAAATTCTAGTATATTAAATCCCATTTGCGGTAAACATGATGTTTCACCCATTAATTAGAATGATAAAAATATGCAAACTAACCTGTACAAAAAAATAGAAAACTGCGATAGGTACGAAGATTGTAAGTATCAACGGAGTACTGTACCCTATCACAATAGGTACGGTCAGTATCTGGAGCAAGGAGCTGATGAAAAAACGCACATTTTGTACTATAATTGTATCTATCGTATCTATATCCTTGCCAAACCTATTCATTATTCTCCCAGATGGGGTCGTGTCAAAAAATGACATAGGGGATGCTACAATGTTCTTCAAAATTCTGCTATGAAGTCGACGTCCAGCTCGGACATTCCCAATAAATAAACTTAGAGCACCACACAACAGAAACGCTCCTGAAATTATTTAAAATCACCTATGACGAACTGTGTTTTTTAAGATTTAGAAAAATTGCTTTTTTCTATAATTCATGTAAAACCTATACATTTATTATATCTATCTTTTAAACTGTTTTCATATCAAATGATGAAGTTATAACAATGATAAGCCAAACATTTACCATTCAATTTCTAAACAAATGTATCATCTCATAGGTTTAAGCACAGAGGTTGAAAGGCAAATTTTAATTTAACACAAAACATAACAAGGGGTCAAAAGACTCACCATGGTTCACAAAGCATATTTTGAAAGTTTTTTCTAAATACAAATAGGTATTCACAAGCCTACTTCTTAGTTTTTTTTGTTTTGTTTTTTTGCATGAACAATAATTATTGTCCTAGACAGCCACTAGAGAATTAGTTCTATAAAATTAAATATTCAAATCATATAAAAATAATTGTGGTCATTCAAAGATAAATGTTGTTGGATCAGTTGGCAGAAATTTAAACTGAGTGCTCACACTAGCTCACCTCGAGTACAATGTGCTTTTGGTATATAAAATAAAAAGCCAAGCTCTCTTTACCTCTGCATGGTGGAGCAATCATTACTTGCCTTTGTCACCAGTATAGATTTAGGCCAGTTTGCAAACTACTGCAGTCTGACTTTCCTAATCACCATACTATAACAACTTCAAAATTTCTCAAAGGATAGTTCAAAATTCAGGGCCAGTCAGCTGATTATATTGTAAATGTAAGCAGGTTAATTAAACTATAGCATTTTGTGCACATTTTCCTTGCTCTAAATAGGTCTTTTAAAACATCAATCATCATTTGTAGATCTTCTCTGCTTTGTAAATTACATCAAATTTACTTTCACAAATAATACAATCTTTTTACATTTCCATTGAAATGTATGAATCTTCTTCAATGTTAAAGTTGTACAAAACAGAATCCTGTACAATTATTTATTTTAAAGTATATTGATGCAAATATGTATTCAAAGCTCTGAAAATGGACTGTAAGAAAAATATTCTACATTTGAATAGTTCCATGTACATGTACAGCATGTTCTTGAACAAAGTTTCCAATTATTTTCTGATTACTTTAAATGAAAAGCTGCAGCTTACAGCAACAGTGAGTGGTAGTTGAAGAAAATTTCATTGATAAAATCCTGAAATTGTATTGGTTAGTATAAATTACATTCTGTTTTTAATAAATTTGAAGAGAAGTGTTCATGCATTGTGAGAATTTAAGATTAAAATTGTTATATTTTTTAATTATTGTTTAGTTTTTATTAATTTAATGTGTTAAAGCAGAATGCCTCCAAATTTATGCAAATTTTCATGAAAATTATTAAAATGTAGAGTAGAATATTGTCAAGTTAACAAAGAAAGTGGCAGTAACTCAATTTTCAATGTTGTAGCTCTCAATACAAAAAGAAGGTCAATCAGTCAAAATCTAGGTAAATTTACAACTGTGCATTTAGTCCAAATTGTATAGCTTTAGGTCTTTTTACAGTATGTCACTGTTCTTTTAAATATTTTGTTCATCTGGAGGCATGCAGCTTAAAACTATACTTAGTCTTAATGAGGTTCCATCATAAATCAAGTCCTTTCTGGCATTGTGAGTATTATTAAGCAGGCAACTCTTAGGAGTCTTGTACAAGACCATTTTAATTAAATATTGGTGTAGCTGGTAGTAAGCACTCCTGAGAAATTTTAAAGAATTTTTATTTCTCATGGTTTAAGGTAAGAAGCAATTTGTTGAGGCTGATTTCATTGATAACTTTCACTGTTAAAGGTTTGAAGAAAATTAGTTCAAACATAAATAATGAAATTGTTGAAAATTGATGCTGTTTTGTTAATAAGTTACATTTTTTATATTAAATTAATAAACTAAAAAAAGAACTGTCCTAAGTTAGATGTTATGTAGACATACGTTAAACTGTGTATGTTAAACTGAATTGCTTTTGCAAGCACAGTTTCTCCAGTGTTATAATAAAGGCAGTTACAAGGAAAAGTACCGTATATACACTTTAAGAGAAAACAAGGCTACAGGGATACTTAATTTACATTCTTAAAGGTTTCTTTGAATTCGATATAGCAGAAAAGTATTTTTTCTTTCTTTGAATTGATTCGTTCTTTGAATTAATTCCCTTTATACATTAATTAAATCCTGAGTAAAATATGATGCTGTTTTAATACTTAAATCCATCTGAATGGGCACATGGTCTTTTTATGCCATTTAAATCAACTGAACAGTACATTGAAATTAAAAAACTGTCTGACATTAAAAGTTAAGCAAATTGGGTTATTATGTCCATTTTGTCAACCTCTTCAACTGCTGGATCCCCCATAACAACCTTTTACATTAACTAACCTGGATAACAAGGTAAAGGAAAAGGATGGGCACAAACACTGTCAGAAACAAGGGAGTACTAAATCCTATCACAATTGGAACACTGAGTACACGAAGAAGGCACGTTATCCACGCCTGGAAGTTGATTGCAATTAATGTGTCAATCACATCTATGTCTTTACTAAATCTGTTTAATATTCGACCCCCTGGTGTTGTGTCAAAAAACGACATAGGGGATGCTACAATGTTTCTTAAAATCCATAAATGAATTCTGCGACCCGCTCGAACATTGCCGATAAATAACGAGATACTTGCTGCTATGACAAATACACCTAAAAAAGGAATATATCGTTCAAAAATCAGCTATTGATAACATTTACCTAAGCTCTGAAATTATGCCACTTTATTCTTGTATTTAACCTGTAGTCACAATGAAGTTATTTAAAGTCATATGGCAACATTCCATGCAATGTTCTAGGCACAAGTGAGAAATATACCGTAGAATAATCAACATTGCATAAACTACCAGTATAGTTTCATCACACAAAAGAATTTTACATCCCTACCAGGCTTTGAACCTACAGAAGATAATTATCCATATATATATCTATCCAAGTTATTTATATTCATGATATATTTTCTACAGTGTACACCCAGTGACATGTTATTTCCCTGTACTTATTAGTTGTTCTACTAGTATGGTATATACATAAAATATTATCTTTAATTTCATTGTCATCCCATATATTCAATGTACCGTAGTTATAAAATCCCTGCACAGAATTATTAGTAATTTGTATCTGTTATTTATAATTGCATTTCCTTTTTTAAAGCTATATAATTCTAACAAATCATTTAAATAAACTCAATAATGTTCAAGCATAATATCAATATAATAATATTAAAAAAATATTGCTAGTATTTATTACATATTAAAGTATACAATGCAGAGCTACGGAAAACTAAATGCAAGATTTCAAGAATCAATGCCACTAACAAATAAAAACAAGCCTTTGACATTCTACATTGCAACAATACTGTGTATTATGTTTCTTTCTTTTCTTTCTTTTTTTTTATTTGCTTATCATAACTTGGACAATTTAAATAATGCTTCAAATTCTTCACAATGCTATTCTGCATGGAGTTTTGTGCATGTGCAATCTTGAAATAAGAAGTCGGTGACAGGAAAATTAAAATGCTTTGTTTGACTGAGACATAATTAAAGCATACAGTAAAATCAGAACATATCTTTTTTATTTAAATCCTGACCAATATCTGGCCAGGGATTCACCAAAAATCTACCAGACCTACTCAAACTTTGCAAAAATATGTGCAAAATAACAAAAAACACCCCACAATTGACAGTGAAGTGCAATATTTCTTATGGTGTTAAACATGTACTGAAGATATCAATCAAAATTCTTTCTCTTAGATATTTGGACATAACAGTGTTCCCTCCAACATTTTACATGCAAGACAGGCAAAGATCTCTAAACAATAATTCAATGGTGGTCTTCAACTGCTCACACAAACACACTAGCCCAACAAATGATATCTGTAACTGTGTTTCAAAATTGGAAAACCCCCAGCTAAAAATTCAGTAAAAACCAAGCTGACCTAATAATTTCTTCCTAATAATACACTATTTTTATCACGGTAAAGATTTTTTAAACAATCGAATTGGCCATTTTGGTCCATATCCTTCAATTCTTGTCGTTTTGTCTAAAACAGCTATCGTAATTCATGTGATCTATGTGTAACAATGTGAAAATTACATTTTATTTTTGTATAAAACAAACAGTTTCATTAACAACGAAAAACAACTACAATTATCAGCTGTTGGTGTGGAAAAAACACCACCAGAGACTATATTGTAGGATGTACAGTTGACAAGAAAGCCAATTTTACTATACAGGACTATAGTTTATACAACAAACTAATATACATGTAGTTCTATAGTTTTATACAGTAGACAAAAAAAGAAATATATGTAGTCTACACTTTGATTGATTGGAAAACGAAAAACCTCCTAAGAAAAACACAGAAATAATCAGCAGTTTCCAAACAAGCTCATAAATTTAACAAAATATTTACATGTTTAGATTACTTGTTCTTATCATTTCATCATTTAGCTTGTCCTTATTTTATTATTTATTAGTTTTAAGTACATTTTGCGGAAGTTTGGCCAAGTGGTTATCATGTCAGACTAGTAATCTTAGGATTTCTGGCTGTGTGGGTTCAAACACTGTCAGGGCCATGCCACTGTTTTTTTTTTTGGAGCATTGCTTCATACTGGTTGGTTCCAAGAATGGATTCGTGACGTGAGCCTGTCTATAACCTTATAGCTTCCTACACAATCAATTTAAAATATATTCTGTATTTATAAAGTAGATCTAATATATGAATGACCTAAAACTTTTCCCCTTTGTTAAAACTGTTTGTTACAATTTTTAAACTTCATAACTGTAATCTTGAAAAGTCTGATTTTATTTTAAACATAATTAAGATGTGTCATTTTAATATTAGTCATTGATAATGAATAGATTATACATTGTATTTATTAACTGTTTCTAATCCAGACTTCATGATAACTTATTGATAATTTTAGTCATTACTTTTATTCTTTGGCCAGTAACTTGCTGAAAATCCAGAATGGGATTGCCTTATTTCTTTTTAAAGTTAGTGTTACGGTTTGTTTTCACACGCCACCGGAATAATTACCGTAACGGCGAGAATTCAATTTTGAAACAGTCCATTTATCAATGTTAGGAATATTATCATGACTAGCCAATAGTATAAACTTGACAGACTGTACAATAGATGTCCTGGCTCTATACTGATGGCAAAGGCATAGTACACTAGTCTTTCTCTGTGAACATTATTAGGAATTAAAGTTGTTTTTAATCCAGTTAGCTTTTTGCCATTCAATCACTAAAAAAATTTTTTTCATTTATTTATTGCCATATTTTACCTTTTTTAAGTTTAATATAATTTTACTTAGGTATATTTTTTAATATAATTACTTTACGAATGCAGACTTTATCAAAGTCTTTTTTATTCTATAAGCAGTAAGTAGTTTAATAAAGCAACGCTGAATTAATTTAGTATTTAATTATAAGTTTAGCCGTGTGTTATAAGCAAGAATTCTGTTATTGATTAGTAGGTAGAGGTTACATAGGTTAGAGTGTAAGGGTTACATGAAGATTAAAGGTGATCAAAGGATTTGTGTGTGTGTAAAATGGTTGTTAACTTGTAATAAAGGTGTTGATATGACAGTTATACATCGCATGGGCTATAAACCTTTAATGATAACAAGAAACCATGTTCATTTTATACTAAAATCCATCTTTTTCTTTATTTTTTTTTTAATTATCTTTACTCCTAGAGACAGACACTTGACCTAAAATAATCATGATGGTAAAACAATGGTAAAATAATATTTCAGATTAAAAATTATTACTGACTAAATCTGTCATCTCAATACATATTATCTTGAAGCCACAACCATTTTTAGTAACATGCAAAGGTAGAGGCAAAGGCATGCAAATAACAGATGAAACAAGTAAAGTCTAGCATTAAATTGTAGCTGACAACCCAACAAGCAAAATATTTCAACAACAAAACAAGTTATTCCATACAGACAGTAACTGGTAAACTTTGATTGCCCCATTATGATTTATAATTTAATACACTAAATAGGTAAGATATAATTTTGCTAAAGCCAGTTTAACAATGTACAAGAATTGTTGCAATATATCAAGATAAGGTGGACAATCATGTCAAAATGGCAATTTTCCTTAACTGTCAATGTCTGTCATTAGTTTTGAAGAACCTCAATTTATCATATATCATAACCAAACATGGGTTATAAAGCATGCAATACAGAGTTGTTAAAATATCAGCCTCATGGTTGTCAGCTAACGCCAGTACCAATAGCATATTATATTTAACAATAAACAAAGGTATAACACAATCCTTCTTTATCTTTTTACAAGTTTCTGTGTCAGCAAATTAAGAATTAATAGTAAAAAATCACCAACATATTTTTTAAAATCTTCTGATAGTCCAATAAACATATATGTAAAACATTCATATTTTAGGTAAAACTTATATTCACTGTAACCGAAGAACTTATAGATAAACAAAGGACTGTGCTATTTGAAATACATATAAAAACATTCATATCATAAAAATGTTTCATAATAATCTGAAATGCAATTAAGAATTTTTTTCTGCTTTCTGTAACATGAACACAATAATATTTCTCATTCAATATTATACAAATATGTTTCAAGATTTAAATCATTATTTTAAGCATGCATGCAGTTTCAATATTATTATTTTAATTATTTAAGATCAAGCATTCTTTTAACACAGTACAAATTCAGAGTATGTTGTCTTGAAATCTGGACAAATTCTTTACCCCTCTTTCCAGTCATTTAAGAAGACTTGATGGAAATTGAGCAATTAAACAAGAAACTTGTCCATCATTCTGAGTGCAGACGTACCTTGTATGAACCCCAACAGGCCGTAGATACCTAATCTCATGTCTCTCTGTGCAGTGTCTACTGTAAAATTAGCCGACATGTTGTAATGAGTTACATCATTACTCCACTCACTCAACCATATGTTTGAGTATAAGTTGGCAGCATTGTATAATATATAAAATACCACAGTCAGTACACTGAGTAAAACACCAACTGACTTCACATAGGCAGCAAATACACCAAGTTTTACCTAAAAACACCAAACATTCAAGTATTTAAAGTTGGGAGAAAAAAAATCAAAAGCTGTGCATCAGTTAAGTATTTTAACAGCAAGGTTTTAGGTTGAACCTTTAAAAAGCCAGTGGAAAAAGACAAATAAAAATTTAAAAAAAAAAATACTTATATGTAAAGTATATAGAAAACAACATACATTTGTAATCATATTGTATACTTGCACATAATACTTATATCTTGATATTAAATTATTATAGTATTAAACACATAATATTCATTGGTAATCGATTCAAACACAGTATGCAATATTAATTAATCATGTGTATGTTGTGTGCATAATGCACAAAATTCATTTTTCAAAAATTAAATATAATGCACACCAAATTTCAACGTTGGAATTTTACAAATAAAAAATGTCCATCATTTAATAAACAAGAAGTATTTATCTTAATTTGTCAGTTTAAAGGAATCAACAAAATAACCATGTAATAACCATGACTGTTTGATATACTCACTCTGTCAGTCTCCATTTTCTCAGCCTCTATGAGTTTCTTCTCTTCATCTTTCTTGTTTCCAGCCTTCTTGTCAATGCCATTACCTACTTCATGTAGAGATTTCTGGGATGTTAAGTGTGTTTTACTACCAGAAGCATTCTTGTTTAAGTTTGGAGACCCCGGAGTGGCCCCTTTACGAGATATATCTGGGGTACCTGGTGGGGTAGATACAGCCTCCGATATGTTCCTCATACGCTCAGATAAAACAGATACTTGTCTGTAAAGAAAGATTAACCTCATTCAATACTGAAACAATAAATTTATTATTTCCGGTTCACAAAAATTTGCTATACCAATACCTAAAAGATGTACTAATTTTACTATCTTGTAAGCAAGCTCTTATAAGATGTTCTTTCCATACATTGAAATCATTTAGAAGAAAATGATGGACTGGAACCCGGGACCTTCAGAATACCGTACTGCAGCTCTACTGACTTAGCTACCAGCAGCTTACAAACTATCTCCCCTAATTTGTTTTGTTTGTTTTGGGTTTTACGTCACATCGACACAGTATAGGTCATATCGCGACGTTCCAGCTTTACTGGTGGAGGAAGACCTCAGGTGCCCTTTCCGTGCATTATTTCAGGCACCGAGTAGAACCACCGATGTTCCGTAAGCTAGCTGGATAGCTTCCTCACATGAAAGAATCCAAAGTCCCTGTCGGGATTCGAACCCACTGCGGTGAGGGGCAAGTGGTTTGAAGTCACCGACCTTAACCACTCGGCCACGGACACCCTTCCCCCTAATTTGTGAACAGTTAATTACCATGACTCTTATAAGACATTGACCTATTTTGCACACTATTTTACATAGAACAGATTCATTTATGAAGTCAAATTGTACCTTTGTAATGCAGCACTCTGACCTACAAATGTTTCAATCTGTGAAATGGTCTCCACATCTAACTCCATGTCTGCAATAGAATAATATGACATATAAACATTTACCAACGCCTTGTAAGATATATATGAACCTGGGAGTAACAGATATAGCATTAGGCCTAATATTCTCAAATTTAACAATCAACATATACACAATAACCTTTTCAATTAAATAATTAGGAAGCAGTGTAATCAATTATGGATAAAAATTCAAACCAAGATATTATATTGGTTTTAACTGACAATTTTTATGAGTTATATGCAAAACTATTATCATCATATCCTATTTTATGTATTTAAGTGATATTATGCCCATTCAAGGTAATATAGTGAGTGAACAGGTGAAAGTCAAAATAAGTAATCAATGAGCATAACGTCACTTTAAAAAAACCGTCCGATATTTAAATGACACAAAAAATTCCAAAATTGAAACACAGACCTCTTCATATATCTTAAACTTTTTATATCAATGTAAGAATTTGTCAGTAGAACACAATAAATCACCTTCTGCATTTTCTTTTTGCAACTCTTCAGTTAGGTAGTTTTTGAGAAACTGAGCAAACGCTCCATCATGGTCAAGTAGCTGCTTGTATGAACCAATCTCCGAGATCTGACCATCGGCTAGGACAACTATAGTATCTACATAGGGCAAGAATCCTACACCATGTGTCACCAACACTCTTGTCTGTAATAGAGAAAATATGGATATATGATATCCTATATGGTATATTGTTGGCATATGATATTTGTACATAATCAGGATTGAATCCTTAGTTTCATGACATATATATATAAATAAAATATCAGATGGAAAATGTTAACCAATAGGCAATGTTAACTGACAAATTTAAAGGTAAACACAATTTTTTTTTGCAACTTAATTAACTTATTATATAAAAGATTAATATTGATAAGATCAACTTTACTAGACTATATAAAACAGTCAGGTTTAGGTATCAAAATACAAATTTGTAAAATATATCAACATAAAATTATAATTTAACAAATCAGCACAAGTGATAAAACAACATTTTTTCCTATGGTACTGAAATACAACAACACGAATATAACTGTCTGAGTTTAAGATTGGATAATAACATGACCTATTTGGATAAGCCATTACTTAAAAAACTGATTAATAAAATGTAACTTTTGGCTAATCATTATATAGGAGAAAGAGTAAAATAATTTTATAAATGTATTACCTTTCCCTTCAACAGGCCATCTGGTCCAATGACATTTTCAAAGATATGTTTACCAACATGCGAGTCAACGGCACTCAGTGGGTCATCTAACAAATATAGGTCTCTATCCTGGTACACTGCTCTTGCTAAACTAACACGCTGTTTCTGCCCGCCAGACAGGTTAATACCCTGGAAATAAATATCCATAAATTTTACTGTGAAACTTGACCTTCAAGCTTACAAGGGAGTTATTCCCAAATAAACTTCAAAACAATTTTTTAAATAAAAACAACTTCATTGGCAAGACATACTGTTTTGTTTTTTTTCCTCCTAAAACTTCAATCTTAGTAGTTTGTTTAATTTATGTTTTCAAGCAAGACTAGAGTTCTGTAAAAGGGTAAACAGTCTAATATAATCACCTTTTCTCCAATTTCTGTCTGGTCCCCAGCAGGCATAATTTCTAGATCTGGTTGCAAAGCACATGCCTCTATAACATTACGGTACTGGCTAACATCAGCTGATTTACCAAACAGAATATTATCTTGTAGAGTGGCGTTCTGTATCCAGGCCTGCTGAGACACATATGCTATAGATCCCTGAAATATACAAGTAATGTAAATCATAACTACTTTCGATTATATTGGTGACATATAGACTTAGTTTAAGAATATTTTATTGAATATTTTGTACATGATAAATTTACACAATCTAACATTATAATCTTAAGCATAAATACAATGTACATACAAAACGATCAGACCAAAAGTTATACCAACATTATCTAGGGTCCTCCCATAGATAAATAGCCCAATGGGCAGAGCATCTTTTTCGCCATATATGCTATGTTATTTTAATACTCATGTAAATGTCACAATAATTAACAATACCTTACATAATCCATGCATATACAGCAGATTATATTTCATCATTTGCATTATTTCATGATTTAAGAAGCCATCTTTTAATCCCATTTCACTTTGATTAAAAGTGTCAAACATCTTAAGGAAAATCATCAAAAACATAAGTTCAATCCTTATTAAAACAAATATTTTCCAATTACATTTGAAACCTTGTACCCTTTTTCTTTAGATTAATCTTGACAAAACAATAAAGATATAAAATTCAATCAATCTTTAAGAAAAAATAATGATAAAATCTGAATTAATCTTAACAAAACAATCATGATATAAATTCAATAAATTTTTACAAAACTAGAACTCCGCGAGTCGAATGTGTCGCCTTGTGAACAATGTAGTTTAGGGGAAATGGCCAGGACAAAAATGAAATATGAAAAATAACAAAGGGCAATAACTAAAAAAATAATAAGTGCAGAGCAGCAGTTTCTGTACACTGCACTTCTTATCAATAAGATCTATCATTCTATGATGTTTCAAGTCCATAGCTTTCATACTTGAGGAGAAATGACCAGGACAAAAATAAAGTAAGAAAATCAACAAAGGGCAATAACTCAAAAATAAGAAATGCAGAGTATCAGTTCTTATGCACTGCACTTCTTTTTAATGAGATCTATCATCCTATCAAGTTTCAAGTCCATAACTTTTATACTTTCGGAGAAATGGCCTGGACAAAAATTAAGTATGAAAATTAACAAAGGGCCATAACTCAAAAATTAAGAAATGCAGAGTACTGATTCTTGTGCACTGCACTTCTTAATAATGAGATCTATCATCCTATGAAGTTTCAAGTCCATAGCTTTAATACTTAAGTAGAAATGGCCCGGACAAAATTAAAGTATGTAAATAAACAAAGGGCAATAACTCAAAAAATAAGAAATGCAGAGTACCAGTTCTTGTGCACTGCACTTTTTCTTAATGAAACCTATCATCCTATGAAGTTTCAAGTCCATGGCTTTTATACATTAGGAGAAATGGCCCGGACAAAAATAAAGTATGAAAATTAACAAAGGGCAATAACTCAAAAATTAGGAAGTGCAGAGTACCGATTCTTGTGCACTGCACTTCTTAATAATGAGATCTATCATCCTATGAAGTTTCAAGTCCATAGCTTTTTTAGTTGAAGAGAAATGGCCCGGACAAAATTAAAGTATGAAAATTAACAAAGGGCAATAACTCAAAAAATAAGAAATGCAGAGTACCAGTTCTTGTGCACTGCACTTCTTCTTAATGAGACCTATCATCCTATGAAGTTTCAAGTCCATGGCTTTTATACATTAGGAGAAATGGCCCGGACAAAAATAAAGTATGAAAATTAACAAAGGGCAATAACTCAAAAATTAGGAAGTGCAGAGTACCGATTCTTGTGCACTGCACTTCTTAATAATGAGATCTATCATCCCATGAAGTTTCAAGTCCATAGCTTTTTTAGTTGAAGAGAAATGGCCCGGACAAAATTAAAGTATGAAAATTAACAAAGGGCAATAACTCAAAAAATAAGAACTGCAGGGTACCGGTCCTTGTGCACTGCACTTCGCGTTATTGAAAGAAGCATGCATACCAAGTTTGAAGTAAATCAGACTTATAGTAACTAAGTTATGCTCCGGACAAGCTTTAGGGGACGCCGACAATGACGCCGACAACGACACAGACGCCGCCGACACCGCCGACAAAAGTAACCCCTATATGTCACCTTTTCAAGGCGACACAAAAATGATATAAAATACAATCAATCTTTGTGAAACAATTAAATTAAGTGCCATCCAAAATGCCAGTACTCTAGTTGTTCTAAAATAATTTCTATCGTCTATATAAAGTTCAGCAGTGTTGCATTGTTTTTTTTTTTCCAATATAATATTCTTGCATCATAACCATGTATAACAATTATCATACCTTAATCGTGACATCTCCCCTTAATTTCTCCATTTCTCCAAGCATAGCCTGTAATAAAGATGACTTGCCAGTGCCTACAGTCCCTACAACAGCAATCAAACTCCCCTCTGGTACCTCCAAGTTTATACTGAAATAAGTCAAAATCAAACTGTTGATACTAACAGTATTTACCTAATATGCATGTAAAAAATAATTCCTAAATGTCCTTCAGAAATTCGTAATATACTATTTACATAATGTAAGGAATTTTCTGAAGATCATTTAAATCTACTATCACATGGATATTTACAAAAATTTAGTATCAATATTAATATTATCCATTATATCTAGTTATTTCATTGCTAACTAAGTATGATCAAAGCAATCTGGTAATTTTGGTACCTATACAGGAGTGATTCTGATAACTTCAGGTGAATTTTAAAAAAAAATTCTAGAAGCCAAAAAATTATGAGCTACTAATAATTCTCTTTATTAAGTTAGTAAATACCACCTTTCCAGATTTTCTGATAGCAAAAGATGGAACAAACTGCTTCCAGTAAGCAGGCATGAATCATTGATGCTCATAATAGAGTTGTATCATAGTTAGGGGACCTTTCTGTTGAAAATGTGTCAGAGTTAAATCTTATACATATACATGCACAGTGTGTTAACTGGAGTGCAGGTATTAGTTACCCGCACTCCTAAGCATGCCCATTGATTGGCTCATTTTTGCTGGGGTTTACTTATTATTACTTCTTATTGTGATGGCAGAGAACAGGAAAGCGATAGAAATATCTAATTTAGATGCTCGTTCACTGGTTACTTTTTTTCTGGGGTTTCATACTGTGACAACAGGGAACGTGTTTTATGTTTGACAATGATACAAAAGAGAAAGAAAATCAAAACACTCATTAATCTGATAGCCTTGACTTTCGATTCTCTTTCTATCACTTAATGCAAAAAAGAACAAAGAGAAATCTGTCTGTCAATTAGTATAGATATGTTAGAAATTTGACCAATACTGTATCTCAAGTAATACTAATTTGTATTCTATAATTTGTATATTTTATGCACTGTGTGCCTAAGGCCTTCTGTACAATTAAACTTTTGAATTGAATTGTTTATACTAAATAAAAAAAAAAAAATTAAATCTTCTAAACATATTTAAGTGATAGAAGTTAAACACCTACTTTTTTAATGTAGTTCCAGCAGCTGAATCCCAAGAAAAGCATCCATTCTTTATAGAGAAAGCATATTCTAGAAACAAAATAAAACATTACATTTAAACTTAATTGAACAGCTAAACATGAATATCATGACCCGTCAGACTAGTAATCTATGGACCTGTAGCTGTGTGGGTTCAAACCAAGTCAGTGGCAAGTCGTTGTCTCCTTAAGCAAGAAACTTTACACTCATTGCTCCGTACTGGTTGATTTAAGGAATGGATTTGAGGCGTGTATAAGCTTATATAGCTTCTTACAAAATAAAACTAAAATAAAATCTATATAAACTAAGTCATACCGTCTATTTTCAAATGTAAGAATTTACAAAAAGTTTACTACAGTGAGATTTTGAATTTTATGAATTATACATACTTGAATTAGGATCACGTGAGACGGCGTCAGGGTCCAGCTCATCGTTTCCTAAGAAGTTTCTCAGACGTGTAAGAGATACCCTCACCTGTATGGATGGTAAACAATGTAAATAATGAATATATAACACTGGAACAATGTTGTTCTTGTTATCAATAAAACATAGATACAGTTGACACTAGGAATTAACATTTTATTTTTTATGAAATAAGGTGTAAATGTAATAATTTCTCAATTGTATCATGCCAAAAGTTAATATCAATACTAATTTTTCATTAGCATTATATTCCTTGAGATTATATTGAAGGAAACATTTTGAATACCGGTCATCTAGGTTCTATTCTGAAACAAGGTAAGCAAGCACAGACGTGCAGTTTGAGCAGACACTGGACTGCTGGTAGCTTATATATTGTATTTTGATAATTATAATCTCTAAACTTTGAATGGACAGTTCTAACTTCAAAGCAGGATCCATACCAAAAATTCAACAAGTTTGTTTGGGTAAAATGGCACAATGACACATTATTGGTCATACAGCAAATTCAACAGGTAATTGGTTAATTGAATATATCATTAAATGACTAACCTGTACAATGTTAGATATGACCATAGGTAACATTGAGAGCGGGAACCTGAGAATGTTAAACAGGGAGAGAGACACAAAAGCTTTCTCGGCATCAAGGATATTGTTGACATCTACCATCACATACACAGCAAATGTTACCAAACACACCTGATATACAATCACATATAAAACAATCTATTATTTCTCAGATTTATTTAGAAATAATTGCATCTATTGAAAAAAAATGTAAGAATTTTTTTTTTTGTACAAATGTAATATTTTCAAAAAATTATAAAGATATTATTTACGATTAACATAATATGTTTAAGAATTTATCAATAGCAAGAATTTAAAGTGTATAAAGCTATACATGTTTATCAGCTGCAAAAATTAAATTTGAATTTAAAAAAAAGAATACTACCAAACTTTTTGTATGGCAGAAATATGGTAGTAAATTACTTTAATCGAGAATGGCGCATGTACAAAAACGTAGCAAATGATGCAACAGATAAAACCCTACATAAAAAAGCAGAATAATATAAGAGTAGAATACTTACAGCAACAGGTGCTACAGTCCAGGTAAATGTTGTACAAGCATTCAGGTAGGACATTTTCTTTAGAACAGCAAGCTCTTTGTTTCTTATATCTAATACTTTCTGTTCGAAGGATGCTTCCCATGCATACAGTTTTAACACCTGTGACAAAATATATACAAAATATGTTATAATACAAATTTTAAAATAAACTTATTAAACATGTGTACGTATATGAGTTAAGTATTAGTTACAAGTGTATTTGCAGAAAGTTACCTTATGTTTTTTACAGTACTAACCTGTTTTTCTATATGCAAGTATTTCACATCAATCATTTGAATAAATACAATGTATTTGGGAAATAACTATCTAAGAAATCATGTTGAAAGCAATATTGGATTTCGGCTGAAAATTCTTTGATCAGTAGAATATACGCTCTCATTATTGAAATACTATACTATAATATGAGGTGAGTCAATCACAAGACACTGTTAACCAATCAAATAAACTGGCATGAAGTTATTTCAAATTATCATCAATATACATGTAGATAAAGTATGAACATAGAATTTTATTATAAATGGCAATCACCTTGTTCATGGTTCAGTTCATAAAAAAAGCTTTAAATTTCATTAGACTTTTTCTTTAATACATTAACTTTCTGGATAAAACGGGATAAAAGGTCAGTTTACCTTTATTCCGCTCAGAATTTCGTTCATCATTTTTATTCTTTTATCTTTCAGATTCATCTGTTGTACTTGAAACTGTTTCACTTTATTGGCAATTACAGCATTCACAGGTATAAGTATAATCATGACAGCCAAACCAGCCAATATTGATGGACCGAGGGTCACCCACAGGAAGTATATAGATATCGTGATCTGTACTGGACCGGACCAGATCATGTTGATGTATGTCATCATATCATTAAATCTCTGGGCATCAACAGACATCAAGTTGACAATCTCCCCGACAGTTGATGTTCTTCTTGCTGCTGTAGACAGTCTTAACATCTGTAATATAACATTGCCAATTAAATCCAAGTGGGTTTGTTTTGTTAAAGGATATAGCATCTAATAATACAATTGTGAACCTATAATAATATAACATTTACTTCAAACCACATGCCCTTTAACCACTGTTGGTTCGAATCCTGCCAGGGACTTTGGATTCTTTAATGTGAGGAAGCTATCCAGCTAGCTTACAGAATATTGGTGGTTCTACACAGGTGCCCATTTGTGCCTGAAAAAATTAATGCAGGGGCACCCAAAGTCTTCCTCCACCAGTAAAGCTGTAAAGTCGACATATGACCCTTTGTTTTGGTGCGACATAAAACACAACCAAGAAAACAAAAAATTAAATAGGTGATATGAAAAGAAATCACAGCCTGAACAAATCATGACTTAAAAATATCTCCTCTTTCATGTTACGTTAAAATGTTACTATCATTCTTTCATACAAAATATTCTCTTAACTGAAAAAATTATTTATACTCCAATAAAACTGTGTATCAAAATTTGTTTAAACTTATTGCTACAGAAGTCAAAAACCTTTAAGAAAATCAAAACAAAAACAAATTTAACTTAATCAAAATCTTAACAGGCAAAATAATGGCTCATACTGTCCCTACCTTTTCATAGACAGCACCAATTATAGCTGTTCTGAGCCTCATACCAACAACTGTACAGTTCTGAAAGTACTGATGCAGTACAACTGACTGGAATAGCACCACTGCTAACATTAAACTAGCGTACCAATATCCCTTCCAGGTCTCCTGCTTCTTATCTGTCGTGTATGCTATAAGATACCTGAAACATTCATTGTCTGTTAGTAAAATAGCCAAATTCTCACCTATGATAGTTATGAAATTAATGAGATTCATTGATTGTTTCCCCATTTTTTTTTTTTATTATGTCAATTTTAACCTACCAGAATGCCTTGGTCATATCTCCGCAATGGATCCCGCTAACCAGCTTAACTGAGTTACTTACCGATAATTACTTATTAATCCACATTTAGTGACTGACTACTAATTCCTCATTCTAATTCCAATTCTTAATCAAAGATCACATCTATACCAAATGACATGAATGTGGATTTTTTTCTAGTTGGAATTTTAAGTCACATCAAAACTATCAATTTTAACAGCTTCACTTGAAAAGAACTATTGTAACCTAAGGAGCATGTTTCACAGCTCTGTTAAAACTCTGACCATCCACTTGGTATGAAGAACTCAATGTCAAAAAATGTTAATTCAATAATCCCTTCGTAGACTAAAACTTGGTTTATCTTAATCATCATCTGATCTTAAATTTATAACTAATCAATAAATCATACAGATTTCATATCTCTTATATTCACCTGTTATAAAAGAGTATCATGTTGTAAAGTTGTTACTTTATTCATATTACAAATAAAGCAAAATATATGTACAGAACTTACTTTAGGATAAGAGGACTGACAAATTGAAGGACATCAAAGATTAGCTTGTAAACGGCAGCAATAAAACTTTTAAACCAGAATGTTTTCATCATGGCCCAGAAGAGACGAGGCTTCTTCTTTTCACATTGTATTTGAACCTTCGGGGTGCTGTCCTCCCTGGGCATCTCCTTCATCTCAACCTCCTTAGCATTAGTCTCTGTAGCGGGGCTTAAACTTTCATGAACCCTATTAAAATACATGTTTTTTTCTATTATTAGAATTTCTAACAAACAGAACCTATTACAGTAATATTTGAAAAAGAACTGCTAGATGAAAATTTAAATTTAAAATAAAGTTTTGTTACCTTTCCATTTTCAAAAATATCTTATGCTCTGTAAGCACTGTTATTTTCTTAATATATAAAGCCAATACAAACCAGGTCAAAACATAACTTGTTCAATTAACAGGAAAAAGGAATCTACCTAACTCATAAAAATGTGTTATGTACAAACTGAAATAAGAAAGGTAAAAAAACTTTCAAGGTTACCTCCTACATCTATTGAGTTCTTTTTGCAGATGTTTGTCAAACTTGGGCATAACATTTTTACATTTGTCAGATGGGTTGAGGTTCCATAAATCTGTCTTTTCGAGTGGCCTCTTATAACCTAATACCACCAAACTGCAAAATAAAGAAATTATACTGACAAAATAGAATAAAGCCTTTTTTAAATGTATCAAGACATTAACATGGCTTTTATTGTTTTCTAGGAAATCAAAGCTAGGAACGTGTCTATAGGACATAGATGCCTAAACTTTACACTATTTTGTCAGTCAATGGTCTGACAATGTGCCAGCAGGACTACAAGGCAGACAAGATAATCCGACAAATTTAAAACGTATCAATTAGCGAAAACCATAAACCGTTCTTGATGTAGTAAAATCAAAAGTCAATAATTAGAACAAAACTATAAGTTTTAAGCATAAAATACAGTATTTTCGTATGATTTAAGATGTGTTTTTGCTTAGGAATGAGGATCAAATTCACATGTTAACCTTTTCCTTTATATAAGCGTGTTTCGACGGCTATTTGCACCCCCCCCCCCCTTTTGAGGCCTCAAACAGTGAAAAAATGTCCTATTTAGACCCCAAACACTGTTTTTCGTTTGAGAAATGTTGTTAAAAAAAGTGACCATTTTTCGGCGCCGTCCCCCATCCAAATAATACATCAGGGGGTTGCCAGAAGGGGGATGTGCCCCCTTCTGTTTGGGGGGTTTGAAGGGGGGCGGAGTCCCCCTGATCGCCAAGAAAATTTTTGACTTGTGAGAGGCTTAAAATGACCCCAGGTTGATCATAAGGTAACGTGTAACCAACGCTGAAAAGCCTTTGACTCTATCTCAATCCCTTGAGAAGTTGCAGCACTTTGAAATAAATTTTGATGGAAAAAATCGAGGCAAAAAAGTGATTTTTGGCAATTTTGAGATGTCCCCTCGTTGCCATGGTAACAGGAAATTTAAGACTGAGCATGTCGTTACAAAGGCAATGGTCCAGTCAACATTTGTGCCAAGTTTGATTAGTATTGAAGCATTTTTCATAGTTTCATAGCAGTTTGAACTTGTAAGAGGAAGCTTTTCAGTGAAAATGGCCATTTTTCACAATATGCTCATGGGGGAAAGGGTTAAGTGTTCACTTCAGTAGATTAATTGCAAGAATGAAAAAATTGTCCTTATTTGTAAACATAAACAACTAAAGCATTTAACAAACAAGAGCCACCGCCGGGCGGGGGCAACGCTCGACTTTTTACTTTTTCTAAACGCAAACATAGAAAGGTTTGAACATACATGTTAATGTTTCCTTTTTATAAATTTAGTTGGTCTGTCTTGTCACATTAGTTTTGTTTATATATTTTGTATAAATATATAAATAGAAATATTACGCAATTTCTAAAAATAGCAACATGACGCAATTTCTAAAAATAGCAACAATGACGCAATTTCTAAAAATAGAAACAATGACGCAATTTCTAAAAATAGAAACAATGACGCAATTTCTATAAATAGAAACAATGACGCAATTTCTATAAATAGCAACAATGACGCAATTTCTAAAAATAGCAACAATGACGCAATTTCTAAAAATAGCAACAATGACGCAATTTCTAAAAATAGAAACAATGACGCAATTTCTAATAATAGAAACAATGACGCAATTTCTATAAATAGCAACAATGACGCAATTTCTAAAAATAGCAACAATGACACAATTTCTAAAAATAGCAACAATGACACAATTTCTAAAAATAGCAACAATGACGCAATTTCTAAAAATAGAAACAATTACGCAATTCTTGTTGTTGTTGTTGTAAATATATATATACACACACACACACACACCAATAAATATATAATTATGGTCATTTAATGCACAAATCTGAGAAAATTCAGTAATTTAACCTTCAAGGTCAAGGTCATTAAAGAGCCCAAGCAAATTTGGGTTTGATAAACAACGAGGTCTGGTCCTTAAGAATGTTCTGTTATAATATGAAGTTGATCCCTTCAATAATAGCAAAGTTACAGTCAGTTACCGCCAAAACAATGAAAATTTCAATAATTTGACCTTCAAAGACAATGTCATTAATGAGTGAAGGTCAAGGTCTTTCGATATATTTTTAACAGTTATCTTTGAAGATTATTATGTTCAAGTTTCAAGACAATCTATTCAAAAATAACAAAGTTACAGCCAATAATAGCCAAAAAAATGAAAATTTCAATAATTTGACCTTCAAAGTCAAGGTCATTTATGAGTGAAGGTCAACGTCTGTCTAGTTATTTTTAAGGGATATCCCTGAAGATAATTATGTTCAAGTTTGAAGACAATCCATTCAAAAATAACAAAGTTACAGCCAATAATAGCCAAAAAAATGAAAATTTCAATAATTTGACCTTCAAAGTCAAGGTCATTTATGAGTGAAGGCCAAGGTCTGGCGGGTTATTTTTAAGGGATATCCTTGAAGATTATTATGTTCAAGTTTGAAGACAATCCATTCAAAAATAACAAAGTTACAGCCAATAACAGCATGAACAAGCAAAAATTGGACTTTTAACCTTGAAGGTCAAGGTCATTTATGGATGAAGGTCAAGGTTAGTGTGGTCTACTGAAAGGTCTTGTCCCAAGGGTTGTTGTGGCCAAGTATGAAGACAATACACCAAGAAATAAAAAAGTTATGATCCAGGTACAAGTTTGCGGACGGCAACGGCAACGCCGACCTGACTATAACAATACCTCTACTTTTTTTTTCAAAAAAAAAAAAAAGTCGAGCTAAAAATAACAAACTATTAGTATTTCAAATAGGTATATTTATCAAGAATTGGAGAAAAAAAAACATTTTATTTTTATATTGATTGGTAACTTGACTATCCATTCAACAAAATAATCATTAATCACTATGTATTGTTTACTAGAAACATGCTAGTTACTTACCTAGAAAACCACCAGAATGTCACCTGGGACAGGAAGGATACATGAGGCTCTGGACATGGGTTCTGAAATGTACAAAAGTTTTATGTTAAAGGATTATAATATATATAAAGTTAATGAAGATAACAAACAAATTTCATTAAACATTTTCTTTTGTTCACATTCAATTCCAGCTTTATGCATCCAACTTAATTAAAATACATGTAATCATATTTTATTATTCTAGTTATATGCATGCACAAACATTATAACAGTGCACTCCAGATACAACGAGATCGTCGGGACTTCGCATGATTCCTCGTTATAACCAGGTCTCGTTGTAACCGGGACAGAACAAATTGAGAAATTCCACACCGTCGAGCATCATTTATTTCTACTTTAGCTTTCATGTGCATCCTTTTTGAAGAGTATATAATGGGAGGTAACTCTTTGTTATCAGAAGTTTTTGTTTTATTTAAATATACATGTATATAAATATATCTAGCTATCATATAATTTAAACAAAACATGAAAACACAACCTACGTCTAACCGCGTGTTTTTTTTTATTAATATGTACATTTTTAAATTCGTTTTCAAGTCACGCAGTGTATTTCTCACCAACACCGAATAACACCGCAAGAAATTAGCCGCTTCCTTTGTGCTAATCACTCAATGAAATTGTTTTGTTATGACATTTCGTCACCTTAAGGACAATTTAGCCCGGAGCGCTGACAAAACAAGGCTGACACATTTGATCGCTAATTGCTCGACCCATTATCTCGTCCCCAGTCAATAATTTCTCCCTTAATTGACCTTTATTATTGGTCATCTTTGTTTTTCTCAAGGTAACAAACTGATGCAGACAAAGTGCAAATGAAGTGACCTCATTAAAGTTCTGAAAAATATGCATTGGACGGCGAAATTATGTACGTTGTAACCGATATCTTGCTTAAACCGATCTCCTTATAAACGATAAAAAATGAAAGGAAAATAGAAGGAAAAAGGCCGGGACACAGTAGAATGTACGTTGTAAGCGGTACCTCGTTAAAACCGATCTCGTTATAAGTGGAGTAGACTGTATATGCATTAACTCAATCAATAGTATATTTGTTAAAGTATAGCCTATAATAATGCTCACTTAGATCAAAATGTTACCACATTGTTGCCCTTAAATACCAAATAATAATCATCAATTTAACCCTTAGTCTGCTGGTGGCAACTGATTCTTCCCATTCAACCAGTGCAGACAAAGATAATTTGATACAACGGTGCCATCTTCTGGTCATGGTCTGCACTGTTTGCTATTCAGTTAGTGTTAATTTTAAAAATTTTCCCCTAAAATGATAAATGAGCCGCGCCATGACAAAACCAACATAGTGTGTTGGTGACCAGCATGGATCCAGACCAGCCTGCGCATCCGCGCAGTCTGATCAGGATCCATGCTGTTTGCTATCAGTTTCTCTACTTGTTATAGAGTTTGTAAGCGAACAGCATGGATCCTGATCAGACTGGGCCGATGCGCAGACTGGTCTGGATTCATGCTGGTAGTAAACGCACTATGTTGGTTTTGTCGTGACGCGGTTCAAATGGTTTTGTCAAGTTTGTAAGATGGACAAGTCCATTTAAGATAATGAGTGTGGTAAAGGTTTAAGGGCATAAAACATTTCCATATAACTGTTCAAAGTAAAAACACTGAAAAATGGGTAACACACATACATGTTTATTAAATGTGAAATCATTTAAGGCTTCGATGGGCTGATCCAATTTATGAAATTATATAAGGCATGTCATAGTTTTACAGGGTCATCTCTACTAGATGTGAATAATAAATTATGTTGTTTTTTCAGATGATGATATATCAATATACGAGGACTGTCTTACACAACTAAATCGGAATAAAGGACCACAACTCAAAACTTAAATATCATATTAAGAGTGGCAGAATTATAAAATTACCAGTATATAAAATAGGCCTATCATTGATTTAATGTAGGGTTTAATGAAATCTTAATTTTTACTTTACAGATGAAGTCTTAAATCCAAATTTGAAACAAGTAGACAGAAAAAACAAAAACAAAGCGGCTTTGACCTCAAAATCCTTTATATGATTATTAATTATGAAAAAATTACCAGTATTATGCCTCATAAGTATACTGGAACTAATAAAGACAAATAATGTTTTTTTTGTGAGAAGCTTTAGAATTTTTGTTTCTTATGCTTCAAACATTAAATGATTTCACAGTTTCACAAATACAAAGACTATTTTAATCTGATTAAATCTGTTGATAACAAAATGTTACCTCTATGAACGAGGCTCTTGTAAGGTTTCTGCAATAAATAAGTGTTCAGAGAATTCAAGGGAAATAATACATCCCCTGATCTTTCGTAATATAAATCGACATATTTTTGTATAACTGATTATTGTTTTTTGTTTGTTTTGTTTTGGATTTTACGTCACATCGACACAGTATAGGTCATATCGCGACGTTCCAGCTTTGCTGGTGGAGGAAGACCTCAGGTGCCCTTCCGTGCATTATTTCAGGCACGAACAGGCACCTGAGTAGAACCACCGACGTTCCGTAAGCTAGCTGGATAGCTTCCTCACATGAAAGAATCCAAAGTCCCTGTAGGGATTCGAACCCACAGCGGTGAGGGGCAAGTGGTTTGAAGTCAACAACCTAAACTGATTATTGTATATGTCTTATAATTGCAACAAGTTAAAGACTGACAAAGATTTTCTATTTCACCTGTTTTTAATTTAGTTTTGTGGTACTCCATTTTCTACTTTCACATTTCTTTATTTTTTTGGGGAAATCTTTGCATTATGGACATTTCTTAGTTAAACTATATCAAAAGTCAAAACTGTACATAAGTCTCTTCTAATACCGGTATATAGATCAAATTTGATTTTAAAATAAGCTATGCAAATTCCAAAATCAGAAAAATATGTAACATATACATGTATATAAAAAGATGTAAGATACATATTTTTATACTAATTCTGATTATTCACACTTAACAACAATGGGAGACCAAAAATACAAAAATTATATGAGTTTTCCTCCCTTTTGTTCATATTCTGATAAACTCAAACAGGATGGAAGACAAACTGTGAGACTAGACAAACATTCACAATGTCATGTATATACCTCATCTTCTACAGGTACAGCCCCTACTGGTTGTTTATCCACTAATGTTGAGATGATCAGCTGGACAAGAATGACAGCGAAGAAGATATAAAATGTCACAAACCGGAACATGTCCTCCACTTCATCCTATCAAATAAACACAACATTATGCATGTATACATGGAAGATAAACAAGAGCTGTCAGAAGGACAGCGCGCTCGACTTTTTTAGTGCTTGCCTATAAAACAAAACTTTGACAGTTAAGGGCACACAAGACTTTAACTAGGAATTTCTAAGTACAAATCAAGAAACATTTTCACAGAGTTATCTTCTCTTGCTTACAGATAGGTCTCATGATGGCACATAAGAACTCCAACTTCCAAAGTAATATCTCAAATGGTTAGGTCAACAAGTGGACAAGAATGAAAATTTTAACTGAGTTTCTAAGTCAAAAAGGGCCATAATTCAAATAAAATCCTTAACAGAATTACCTTCTCCTGCCCATGTTTGGGACCATGATGGTAAACAAGTATTCCAACTTTCAATTTAATATCTCAACCAGTTCAGTCAAAAAGTTGACTGGTACAAAAAACTTAACCAAGATTCTAAGTCGATAAAAGGCCTTAATTTTTAAAACAAATCCCTGACAGAGTTACCTTCTCTTGCGTACAGATGGGGGTAATGATGTGAAATAGCATTAAAAGTTTCAAAGCAATATCTCAAAGGGTTAAGGCAATAAGTGGATTTTACCCATATTCAATGTATTTTCTAAGTCAAAAAGGGGCATAATTCTGTCAAAAACCTTGACAGAGTTATGTCCTCTTGTCTGTTGATGAAGGTCGTGATGGTAAACAAGTATGGTCAGTTTCAAAGCAATACCTCCAATGGTTTTGAAATAAAGTGAGGTGGTACAAAAAACTTAACCAAGCTCAATACACTTTCTAAGTCAAAAAAGGGCCATAATTCTGTCAAAAACCTTGACAGAGTTATGTACTCTTGTCTGTAGATGGAGGTTATGATGGTGAACAAGTATGGTAAGTTTCAAAGCCATACTTGTAATACTTCTGAAATAAAGTGGGGTGGTACGAAAAACTTAACCAAGGTGTGACGCCAACGCCGACGCTAACGCCGACGCCGGGGCGAGTAGGATAGCTCCCCTTTTCATAGAAAAGTCGAGCTAAAAATGCACACATTTAATCTGTGATTTTTCTAACTTAATTGGAAAGAGGCTTTAGCCTCTCTATTTTTGAGAAATTATCAATAAAATTGCTAATTTTGAAAGTAAAAAGCAGGTTTAAGTTCAAATTTTTGGGATAACTGCATGATTTTAAAGAAAATTTAATTTGGGAAAAGGCCTTGTATGTGATTCTAAGCAGGAAAATCACTGTTCATATACCATTTTCTATAATTATGTAAATGTCAAAAACTATCAAATATGTAGAAAATAAACCAGAGTTCATTTGGCTTTTTTTTATAACTTTGTTCAACACATGAAAAGTAGACAAGCTGCAAAAAATGCTCTCTTTCAGTCAATTCTTTCTTTTTTTATCAAATTTATTATATCATCTATTAATTCTATACCTAATAAAATGCATTTCAATAAGCAAGATTATATATAGACAAATATGGCAAACTCTCTTTTGCTCATTATCCATCCCTTTTTGAAAATGCATGTTATATTTCTAACTAGAGGTCACTATCTAGTACATGTCCTGAATATTGTCATAATGACCTACATATCTGTTTGACCTTTCATTATTTGCATCATCAAATTCTTGTTTGAGATAAACATTATTTGACTTCAAAAGTATTTGACTTAACAGATGTTTGTACTGAGTGTCCAACACTTGAATGAACACATGAAATGTTGATATTTTTAGCGATAACAAGAAGTTTTAAGTTTGTCAAATGTTTGCACATTTTTAACAATTTCATACCTGTATCCAGTTATTCACCTCAGGGGTGCAACTTAAAAGTAAACAAATTCATACTTGATACCCAAGAATACATTAAAGTGGTCAATATTTAGTTAGTTTTATCATACCTCAAGCGGATTATCACCTATTTGGTCAAAACAATATTAATTCATTTATAAACAATCAAACACATCCAAATTTCAACTAAGGTTGATGTTAATTTCAGATAAGATCATTTCTAATGAATTCCATCAACAATTTAAGACAGCAAGACATTCATATAAATAAAATGACATTTTTAATATCTCTTCTTTTCACAAAAGACTTTACAATGTATTACATGAAATGTTTATGAAACATCATTGTGTGTATATATTTTATAAACAGACATTTCAAACATTTCTGAAACTCACCTTCAAGAGAGCTACTCTGATTTTTGACCTGAACGTTACTATGGATACAAGGAACATAATAAACCAGAAATTAAAGAGAAATCCTGATGATCTCACACTATTCTTCCTTTCAAAGTGAATGACCAGCACATAAACAATCTGTAAAAAAAAAACCAGGAATAATAGGTGACTATTAAAATTTGCAAAAACACAAATTTTAGTGTAAATTAAATTTGCACAGTTGTTAAACATTTCTATCAATGCAATTAGCACTGCCCAATATCATGATAATATTTTATTATTTCTTACAACCAAATCAAAGTGGTCAACTTCTTAATTATAGCATCAAGTTATAAAACAAATTCTTTCTTTTTTGTTGGTTTTTATGCTGCACCAACACAATAAAGGTTATATGGGGACTTTCCAGCTTTACTGGTGGAAGAAGACCACCGATGCCCTTCAGTGCATTAATTCAGAAATGAAAGGGTACCTGAGTAGAACCACCGACATTCAGTAAGCAAGCTGGATTGCTTTCTCACATGAAAGAATTCATAGTCTCTGTCGCCCGGGATTCTTTAAAAGAAAATTTCAACTGGGAAGAGGCCTCTTATGCACCTCTGTTATATAATGTAAAAAAGCCCTGCTTGGATAGGGAAAAAAATTGAATTATTTGACATTAAGATTTGTTCTGATAGTCTGACCTATGACTAGGTAGAGAATGCCCTGCTCTGGTATATTTGCTTAACAAAATGTTTAAAGAGTTCAATTTAAAGTTCAAGTGCAAAGCAAAGGTGTAGTATTACATCTCTTTAAACAAGTAACATTTACTATGCTGAAGTCCTGTAACACATTTGTCCCACTTACTTTCTATTGCCAGTTCAAGTATTTTAATATAGAAAACCAAATAATTAAAAACTGACTGCACTACAAAGATATACATGCTGACCTCAGTGACCTGGCTCAGACTCCTAACTGGTGGTAAGAGTCTACCTAAACCTTGGCCTGCAACCTATCCTTGCAACCAGTGCAGACCAAGATCAGTCTGCACATATGTGCCGTCAGATCGTGATCTGTACTATTTGCAATTCAGTCATTACCATACTTTGAAAATTTCCTAATCCTATCAATTTCCTATTGATAAATAGCTTTGTCCAGATTGGAAGTAAACATTTAAGGATATTTAGCATAATGTAAATGTTGCCTGCAGGTAAACAAAAAATCAATGTGAATTTTCAATCACAATATTTGACATGATTCATATTTCTTTCTTTGAGAGGTTAATTCTGTAATTTATGTTGCAATTTTCTTTCAGATGATACTTTATATTTGCACATGCATAGAAAATGGCGGATCAAAGCTGTGATTTGATAAGAATAAAGATGCAGATTATTTATCCAGGATTAAAACTGTTATATCCACCATGGTAACAAGGCCATGATTAAATGTATTTGTTTTTGCCAATAAAATATTTGACTTGGCTTGATTATAATATGGATATTCATATAACTTGAATCAAGTTAGACTTACCATGGTGAGAACCAACACAAGTGGAGACAGGAAATCTACCACAGGGACAGTTGTTCCATTAAAATGTTCATAGATACTATAACCTATGTCTAGTGCTCCAAGCAAGGCAATAACAAATGCCAATCCCTGAAAATACAGAATCTTTGTTAAAATATAAATAGAATATGATAATAATATACCATATTTGAAAATATTGGCAGTATTTTCATAAAGCCTCAGCTTTCACATGTATAAATAGCATGTTATCCTAACGCATCGAGTCCACAACGCCGCTTCAACGAACCGTAAAAAACATGACCAAACCATGCGCGCGACCATGTCAACCCCAGAAATCATAGTTTTCCTGGCGTCGTTGAATAGTCCACACGTGTTACGCTTACTTTCGTTTTCTTATGCAGTTTTTGAGGTTTGTTTTGTATTTACAGCTCTCGGCTTTTTGTTTGTCGGTAAGTTTGTGAATTGACGTGAAATTATTTTGTTATTTTTATTTCTTATACAGTATTTTTGGCTCTGTCTAGGACGTTGTCCAGACTTTGTTGTTTTTTCAATATGAGCCAGTCCGAAGACGATGTCTCGGTAAATAGGAATTTATCTGTTCAGAATGAAGATGTGTTACATCTTTCTGACGAGAGTCCAGAGTTTTCTGGATTTTCGGAGGACGATGTCCCCGTTAAGAATAAGAGCCGTGGTAAAGGGCCTGGCAGAATTAAAAGTTCAGTGTCAAAAGTTGGTCAAGAGGTCGCGAAAACTGGTAAAAAATCTAAGACAACAAAGACCTCTGTTAGTGATAAAAAGGGGACAAAATCAAGGAACGCTAACAAAAGTTTGATTGATTTAAATAAATTATCCTCTGATGATTTAGAGTTGTTACGTAGAAAAAATTGGGGTTTCCCCTGCCCACGGGTTTTTCAAACATTTTTTTTCTATGGAACAAATTTAAATTATAAAAAAGAGTATTTTAAAATTTTGGCCCAGAAACCTAATTTTAAAAATTTGGGAAAGTTAAAAAATAAATTTTTTTAGATAGCGTCCCAGTATTGGCCCCCAACCTAAAAAGGGCCCATCCCTAAAAGCGAGATTTTGAAAAAAGGCTGATTGATTCAATTTTTGGAAAGAGGACGTTTTGTGCCCCATGTTAGGTAAATAAATAAGATTGGGGTTTGCCAAAAAATTAAACAGAGAAAAAAGGTGAGGCAATTTTTTCCTCCTTAGCAAAACCCTTTTTAATACTCCCTGAAACGCACTTTGGACGTAAAGGGAACTTTGTGTTTAAATACCCTGTCCCAGCAAAACTGTGAGAATTTAAAACCCCCAAAGGGTTTGAACATGGAAATTTGGAAGGTTATGGATAAACGTTCTCGGTTCATGACCGTCTATTTCAGGATATTCAGTCGTTGTTAGCAGCTGGTATGGTGCCCATTATTAAGCTGGCTAAGATTTTGAAGACCTCTATTTTCTGCTAAACCACAGGCTAAACAGTTACTATTCTGATTCTTTGTCAATTCTTGGACAAGCACAGTATAACATAAGTATCAGACGTAGATATTTGATTCGTCCATCATTGAACAAGAGGTATAAAAATTTGTGTAACATGACTGTCCCTATTTCAACCTCTCTTTTTGGTGACGATATTTCTAAAGAGATTAAGCATTGTGAAGTAGGGGTTAATCTGGGAAAGGATTATAACGCACAGTATAATAGGAATTCTTTCAGAGGTCGTTTTTCTAGAGCAAGGCATTTTAACAGAGGAAGAATGACACCTTATCCACAGGTGCGGGGTGGTTATTCCCAGAGAGCTCCCATGAGGAAGGGAACATTTAAGTCTGCCACTGTGACGGCACCCCCAAACGGGGAGAAATAAGTTCGGTAGGTAAGTTAAGATACTTTATTCATGCATGGGAAAAGTTTTCTAATGACCCTTGGGTTTTGAGTACTGTTCAGGGTTATTCATTAGAATTTGATGTTTATCCTGTGCAATATTCTTTACCAAAGGAAATCAATTTTAATACAGAAGAAATGAGTATTATAGATTCTGAAGTTGAAGATTTGCTTAAAAAAGGGGCTATTGCACCTTCTGTGGAGGAAAGTGATCAATTTATTTCTAATATTTTTGTAGTGAAAAAGCCAAATGGTAAATATAGACCAATCATTAATCTCAAAGAGTTAAATACTTTTGTTCATTATGAACATTTCAAACAGGAGCATTTCAAAGTAATTTTGGACTTTAGTTCAAGAAAATGATTATTTTTTGTTCAGTTGATTTACAAGATGCTTACTTTTCCATTCCCATTCATTCAGAGTTCCAAAAATTTCTGAAATTTTATTGGAGAGATTCATTATATGCCTTTGTTTGTTTACCATTTGGTTATAGTGCTGCACCTAGAGTCTTTACCAAATTATTAAAACCTATTTATGCCTGGTTTCGTTCTCAAGCCATCAGATGTGCCTATTATATAGATGATTCTTTAAATATGAACTGTGATAGAGATTTGTGTCTAGAAAATGCAAAGATTATTTGTGACACATTACAGTCTTTAGGCTATGTTATTAATGAGAAAAAAATCAAGTTTGGTACCCAGTCATAAAATTGTCTTTTTTTGGGTATCTTTTGGATTCAGTTCTTTTATTTGGTGTTTTTGACAGAGGAAAAGATTGAGAAAAATACTCTCAAAGGCTAATAATCTCATTCACAGTGAGTTAGTGATTGTTAGAGAGCTTGCTTCATTTATAGGGTCTGTTATAAATGCCTTCCATGCAGTTTTAGAAGCTCCTCTTCATTATAGACAAATGGAAAGATGTAAAATTAATGGATTAGGTAAAAATATGAATTTTGACAATAAAGTGTTTTTTGTCCGAAGGTGCAAAAATCTGAAATTCGTTGGTGGCTTGAAAATATACGTCTCAAGAATGGTAAGCGAATACGACCTCAAAATATTTCCTTTACGTGTCAAACAGATGCTAGTAAACTTGGCTGGGCTTGTGTTGATGTTTCATCAGGTTCAGTTTGCTAATGGTCGTTGGTTAATTTGTGAACAAAGTTTTGCCATAAATTATTTAGAACTTTTAGCTTGTTTTTAATGGAATTAAAGCTTGTATGATAGTTTTAAAAGTTGTCATCTTCAGGTTTTTTCAGACAATGTGACAGCTGTAGCATACATAAATGACATGGGTGGAATGTCTTCCCCCAGTCTTGATAGTTTAGCTATTGATATCTGGAATTGGTGCTTAGAGAGATTTTATATTTTTATCAGCTAATTATCTTAAAGGTTCAGAGAATGTACAAGCTGATTATTTTTCTCGACATTTTCGTTCAGAGTCTGCTGAATGGATGTTAAAAAAGGAGATTTTTTGATAGAATCTGTTCACAGATGTTTCTTTCCAGACATCGATTTATTTGCGTGTAGGTTAAACTGTCAATTGTCAAGGTTTGTGTCATGGTTTCCCCAGCCTGGGGCATTTAGAAATGATGCTTTTTTTCGTTTCCTTGGTCAAACCTTAAGCCCTATTTGTTTCCACCATTCTCGTTGGTTGGGAGAGTTATCAATAAATTAAAAGATGATAAGGTTAAAAAAAGCTATATTGATTATCCCTTTGTGGAGAACACAATTTTGGTTTCCACTTATTATGGATCTTCTAATTTCTGATCCTGTTAGGTTGCCGCGTCACAAGATCTGATGATTATGCCTCAAGATTCCAGTACAGTGTGTCCAATGGTCCATTCTACAACTTTTGTCGCTCTTCAACTATCAGCAGATATCTCCAAGGTAGAGGATTACTTCCAGAAATTGTTGCCATCATCCTTGGTTCCTTGGAAACAAGGAACTCGTAAACAGTATTCCATGGCATGGAAAAGATGGCTGTTTTGGTGTTCACAGAAAATGTAAGAATCCCCTTAAAAGCAACTGAAATGGAGGTAATATCGTTTTTATATTTTTTTGCATCTAGACAAGAAGTCATATTCGGTGCTGAATTCTCACAAGGCTATGTTATTGCAGACTTTGTCATTGTTAGGAAATGATTGGTGTGATTCACCTAATTTGATTAAACGTTTTATGAGAGGGATTTTTATTTTAAAACCGGCGTTACCGAGATACAAGTTCACATGGGATGTGACAATAGTTTTGAAATTGCTTAGTACTTTGGTATCCTTTAGAAACTTTAAATTTAAAGTTTTTAACATTAAAAGTTACGGCACTTATAGCGTTGGCATGTGCTCCTAGAGCTCAGACAATTATGTCACTTGATTTGAATTATATGAAGGTACATAATTCTTATTGTGTGTTTTATTTCCCGAATCTATTGAAGACTTCAGTCGTGGGAAAAGAAAAATAATTTTTGTGTTAAATTTGAGCATTTTAGGAAAAGAAAGTTTGTGTGTATATCATACATTATTATATTATATCAAAGTAACGGAACAGTTGAGACTATCTGATCAATTATTAATTTCATATGTAACATTTAATGCAGTTACATCAAGCACTATTGCTAGATGGCTAAAGACAGTGTTACAATTGTCAGGCATTGATGTTGCCATTTTTAAGGCCCATTCTTTTCGTGGGGCCTCGGTATCGGCAGCAGCAAGAAGTCAGAGATGTTCAAATTAAAAATATCTTGAATACAGCTGGTTGGAAATCGGACAATAACTTTTACAAGTTTTATTATAGACCTATTATTGAAAATGAGGATCTGTCTTTTTCTACAGCTGTTTTTTCCTCAAAGTGACAATCTGGATTTATTATTTTTGATGAAATATGAATTTTATATTTTGTTTGATATAAAATATTATGGATTTGTCAGATATTACATTTGTGTTTCTTGATTGGCGTTATGTGTCTTTTTCATTTTTCTAATGACATGGAAATATTTGTTGCCGATCTTTAAAGATGCTATTTATACATGTGAAAGCTGAGGGCTTTTATGAAAATAACTGTCCCCCCTCATCCAAGCTTTAGTGATGGATGAGGGGCAGTATTGGAATAAAGCCGGAGGCTGAGCATGTATAAACCCCCCCATTTTTTGGGTGCTACAAGTTTTTTCTTTTTCCCTCCCAGTTTATTTTTTATGTACGTCAACAAATTTTTTGGGCTTTGAATTATGATTTCTTGGGGTTGACATGGTCGCGCGCA